CGATGAAGCGGTTGAGCTGGCGCGAGAACGGCTCGCCAAACATGGAGTGCACGACGAGGCCCTCGCCGCGGAAGTAGGTGTCGGGGCGAATACCCTTGGTACGGTCGATGATCTGATCGGGGATCACGAAATGGCCCGGGGCGATCTCCTCGCGGAGCGAGCCGACGGCACTGAACGCGACGACGGCACGCACACCGAGATGCTTCAGAGCGGCAATGTTCGCGCGCGCAGGCACCTCGGACGGCGTGATCGTGTGCGCCGCGCCGTGCCGGGAGATGAACGCGACCTGGGAGCCGTCCGGAAGGGAGGAAATGGTAATGGGCGAAGAGGGCTTGCCCCACGGCGTCTCGACCTCGACCTTGCGCACAAAGGTTAGGTTGTCCAGGTGGTACAGGCCCGAACCGCCGATGACACCGACGAGGACTGGGCGTTAGCACTCACGAGCGAGCACGAGCGAAGCGAGTGTGAGCAGAGCGAGCGTAGGAAGCATGAGCTCCGTTAGTGGATGTGAGCCATGTCCGACAGCAAGCTACTTCGCAGAGTGCTTTGTAAACAAAGCCGCTTTGCGACTGCCGGAGAGCACACCGTCGGACCGAGGGGATAGATGGATGGAGGACAGTCAATGGGACGCGAGACTCACTCTTGTCGTTCTGCTCAGCCATTGTAGATCTGATGACGTTTCTGAAGGGAGTGTTTCGGACAGCAAGTGCAGACAAGGAGCGCAACATGAGCAAGCAGAATGCCAGTCTCGCGTCCGCCGGGGGAGCCAACGTGCGCGTCTGGGCGGCCTGGCGGGGCTAGCTCGCCGAGGTGGGTCATATTAATCTGCTGGACGCAGAAATTTAGCTCCCGCTGTCAAAGACTGCTAATCTGGGCGTGAAGTGTCGACATTTGGGCTGAACACGTGATCTGGGCGAGAGAAAGCATGTGGTTGTGCAGCCGGAAATCTGAAGCCGTTTCGGGATTGGGCAGATGCACCAGATGCGCGCGAGATTCGGTCAACTGGCCGCTGGGCGCTGAGGGCTGAGTGGGCAAGGAGGCGCTGGGCCCCAGTCGGACGTAGACGTCAGTCAGATGCCAGCCTCGGTTGCGAGGAAGAGGGCAGATCGGGTCCCTCATTGCTCCTCCCTCCCACCGAGCGATGCTCCACCGCATTTCGGGGATCAAGCTTTGGTGGTGTATGGGCCGGCAGGGGTCCCGGTGATTGGAGAGAGAACAGCGGGGCAGGCTGTTGTCGCAGCGTCACGAGGTTCGTTTACGGGTGCGGTTTCTTGGCAGACGACACGGAAGCGGTGGCGAAGGGGATCAGGGGAGGATCGGCTTGGCGGATGCAGTCGAGGGTACAGTGGCCCGGGCCAAGAGCCCAGAGCAGCCGCGGGTGGCCTGGATCTGGGCCCATTCAGGCCATCCATCCTCCTTCACGAACGTGCACCCGGCAGCCATCCTCTGTACGGATGCATGCTGGTCCGCCTATACGCCTACCGCATGGTGAGCGAGCGAGTGAGTGAGTGAGTGAGTGAGCCGTAGTCGCGAGATATACATAGATCCTCCCCCCGCACTTGGATGCATCGCCTCTTCCCCTTTGATCTCTGCTATTCCTGTACACTCCATCCCCGCCCGCCGCCCTTCGCACTAGGCTACGCTCACAGGCCTGTGGTCGCGTAGCCCGCAGACGCTTCTCAGTCTTGCTCAGCCGCAAGTGCATAGCACACTCGACAAGGGACGCAGCCATCTCGACAACCTCGACTCTCCTTCATATACTCTTTCCTCATCAGCCCGTAACTCTTACCGCATCACTTCACCCGATCGTCCATCTCAAGACGCCATCTCCCCCCACCTTCCCTCAACCCAGCGACTACACTTCACTTCACTTCTCGTTCTACCGCTCGCTTCGCTCGCACCCGACCCACAATGGCACCCACTCGCTGCGGTGCACGCGGTGCACGCCGTTCACGCCATGACGGGCAAGATCAAGACGCTCAAGCTCACCAAGTCACGGTTATCCGCTGCGTCGATCGACAAGCTCGCGGCGTGTGCAGCGCGGGCCCGCATTCGCGACATTGCCATGCTCCTCTGTAAGTGCACCTTCCCCACTCACATCCTCCCCCACGTTAGCAAACGTTCGAAATCTAACTAAACGCCCAGTCGGCATCGGACTCGGCGTCCTGCTCTATGCGCTGCTGCACGATCTCGTCCTCGCCTTCTTCACCCGCGAGCCACCGCTAGAGTGCCCGCCGGGGTGTATGTGCGAACCCCTGCCCGTGTACCGCGAGAAGGAGGAGGACGAGTACTCGGTGCCGTGAGCCACCCTCACGCTCCACTGTAGACGACCCGAGGGGGATCGCATTACGACAGCGGTCGACCACGCGGAGCCGACAAGGAGGATGGGGCAGGGGAGGAACGTTGGCAAGGGCTGCGATGGCTGCGCGCAATCTCACACGACGTCAAGCCGTGAGCCATCAAGCCATATGGGCGTGCCTGGCGTATTCGGAGCACTAGTCTCGCAGTTGGGTGACAGTGCGAGAATTGGGAAACGTGTGTGTCAAGGTCGTGTGCCCGACACTCACCGGCTTCGCACATGCGCGCATTACGTTGACCTCACTGGCTGCAGATAAGTCGGTTCGCTCTACTCGCCCTAGCGCCTATCCCTCATGTCCCATCTAGCCCAAACCGCGCTGCTCGACACCACCCCTCGCCATTGCAAGTTGTAACACTAGCCACACTCTCCATTTTTGGGATCATCATTCTTCTGGACTCTTTTCCACTACACTACCTCTACGGACATTCATAGCTTTCTCTCTGTGTGTATGACAAGATATAGATGGCTCGCACCGCTTTGAAGGCTGGCAGATCGGAGCAACTATTTTGGGCCCATGGGCGCAGCTTTGGGATCGTTGAGATCTCTCGCATTCCGCCCGTTGTCATTGGACTGTGCGCTGCGCTGCGCTCTTGGTAAACCATGTGCTCACTCGTTTCACTGCGCGCCATTGTGCCTCGTAGCAGGTGGCCAGGAGGCGGTTTCCGGCGCAGTCGGCAAGGGCACACCGATGCACACCGATGCACGCACCG